TGGCGAACCATGCTGAAAAATATGAAGGCTTAATCCAAAGTAAAATTTAACAGCAAACTTCTGAAAGATGAACGTTTTAGACGATTCAGCAAACACAGATCGATGTACGCTTTACGAAGATTCAGCAAACTTTAAAAGATGAACGCTTTACGAAGACAGAATATCAGACCTCAGCAAATCTTTGAAAGATGAACGCCGAGGACACAAGAATCACCACACGAGTTAGTACGTCAAAGTGAGGCAAAACCTAAGCAAGCGCCTCAAAGCGAGGCAAATGTGTGTCGACGACGACGAAAATGCAATCTCAATAATGCACAGAACACCCAACACAAATTAGGGCTTGCGTTCTCGTACTTCGAACGCAATAATGCTCCAGCTGGTACTTTACTACATCATAGAAATACACTAGCTATTTTTCTCATCAGCGTGCTCGATGGGAATACTATTTATAACAGCTAGAACATTCGCCTATTTAAATTCAATAGCGCGAGCGTGCTTCATATTCCTGTTGAGCACGCTGATGACGTCTTACTCAGTAAACTATATACCTCGAGTTCTTGTGAGCTTAGCAATCCTCCCAAGACGTCTCTCAAGTGCATCCATAGCTCAACAGTACACGATAAAGTGTTAACCATGTGTTTTACAACGAAAATTTAAGAGAAAACGATTGAATTTGATAATCGATAATAGGGAAAAGAGGTGAGTGTTGTTGTTGTTGTCATCTGTGCGAGCTGTACGGGCTATGACGTGTGCAAATCATTTTTTGCAAAGTTGTTTCTTTCAAAAAGAATTTTTTGGTGAATCAATACTTTTCCGGCACCTCAATATGGATTTTAAAATCTTTTGACCGTTATCTTAAGCGACTTGATTAAACTTTCTCTCAGTTTCAAGACAAAAACATAACTGTGAGGTAAAAAAACCTACTCACGTAGACATTGACGCGTACTGCTTTGAGTGCACGCTATAATAATGAAAATGTAAGGTAACTGCTGCATTGATAGCTTTGATAATGTTATAAAACTATTAGTTCAAGATTCAGCTGTGCGTATGTCGAGATATTGAGCCCTTGGGAAGTTTGGAGAGCACTCAAGAGGCAAAAAATTCTTTCGGTTGCACCTCGAGCAACTCTTACGCCTCTTTCGTGCTCTCCAATCTTCCTGCGAGCTCAATATCTCTACATACGCACGCTGACTCATGAACTAAGGGAGCAGTCATTAACTATTGGGGGAAGGCTGGTAAATTTTGGGGGAGGGCCTCCCATTTAGGGAGGGCTAAATTTTTCTGGGTCCGCATTTAGGGGAGGGTTACAATTTCTAGGCGTCTTTGGGCGATGTGCGCGTACTATTAAATGGGTTTTGTGCTACTGAAATATTAAGCACTGCTTGAAATACGATGGCCGTGCAAGTAATATTAAAAGAATTGCGTACTCAAAGCTGACTCACTCGGTTAAAAAGCACTCTGATTGGCTGGAGATCAGCAGTGACTTCTTGCGGAATTGCTTCCAATTTGCTTGACTTTGAAATTTCTTTGAAAATAGCGGACGGTTTCAGTTTGGCTTTGTTGTTTAATCAACGTCATCTTCAGGTGATTTTCCTGTATTATAATACATCTGAATGGCACATAATTTGATGAAAGCCCTTCTTAAAACGAGCCGCGATCACAAGTGCAAGGATAGTTGATGATATGTTATTATAACTGAAAATGTATTTTTTCATGTTTACTGGTACTCCATCTGTATTTGTTTGTCTGTTTTTTTTGTTTGTTTGTTTTAACTCATAGTTGTGCAGTTTATACTAATCCTTTCACAAAACTCAGTAAGTCTTAAACAGTAACAGAAACAGAACGTTTTTCTTTTTCAACAAATGCAACATAGACCACACGATATGGCCGAACTTGCAGGACCTGGAGGGGTAGAGCAAGAGCTGCGGACTTTCCGTGAATAGGGACAATTTTCCTCTTGCTATTCGCTGACAAGTTATTATGCACAATTTATTCACTCTTCAAGTTCAGTAGAAGACAGGAATTCAATAAGTGACAGTGGGGCTGTCAATGGTTTTCTTTACTTGGTGAAGCGTAAATGAGCTTCGTAAATATTGTGAATACTAACACTTTTTTTTATTCCAATGAAAAAATTGTCTCAAAGTTACGCTCATATGGATTCCGAGGATACAACATTTGAATACTCGAAATGTTATTACAGGGGAGGGTTACAATTTTTTGGGCACACATTTTTGGAGGGGGCAGAATTTTTGGGCTGTTAACCTAAGAGGGGGTAAAATTTTTGGGCCCTCGCTTTTGAAATAATACCAGCCCTCCCCCACCCCCCAATAGTTAATGACCGCTCCCTAATTGTTAAATTGTTATCCGTCGTGTTTTATAGTCTTGGGCAGTAATTAGTTCTGGCTATTTCATTTTCTTCGCAAAACGTGCCAAAAATTTTCCGCCATTTTTTTTAATAATTATTTGTTTAATTGTGTAAATTATCTAAATATGCAAACAGTTGTCTTTATTATCTCTTCTATCTCTTTATATCTTTATTATCTCTTTATATCTCTCTATCTCTTTATTGGTCAAGAGGTGGAGAGAATCAACATAAAATCGTCAGAGGTCTATAAACTCACTATAGCAAGCTTTTAGTTATAGGGAGAAAGGCAAAAATGCATTTTTTTATTACAGCTATCAAAATTTGTCATACTCATATTCGCCCCACTCAAACGAGCGAAAATATTTTTTCTGTGGATTCTTTAAACTTTGTGATAAAGGAACTCGGTGGACAACCTAAGGGTACTGCCACATGGTATATATTGTGACGTTTTGTAGGGTATGGTTTTCGAGCATGCAGTTAAGTCTGGGATTGGGTATAGAAATCAGAGAGCAATTCTTGTATAGGGAGGTATTTGGGAAGTTTAGTTTAGTACAGTGAGCAAAATTCAGCTGAACCAGGAGTATAGCCTAGGTTTTCCAGGGTCCCACCGTCACATTACCACCCCAAAAATTTCTCAAGAACCCGCTGGTTTATGCTTTTTTTAAAAGACAAAAAAGAGACATAAAGAAAGAGTTCAAAAGACTTTTCGGCGCTGAGTTTTAAAGAAAATAACAAAGTTAACTAAAGCCTACCACTTGACGTGCGTTACTCATTCTTGTAGGATGTAGGTCTTATATGAAGGAGTGCTAAAGGCTTGAGCTACGACTGATAAATCTGTGATGCTTAGACTCAAAGCGAATTGAAATTTGGAAAAATGGCGCATTAGGAGAGAAACCTTTGTTTGGAGCCTCAGAGAATATCTATAACATTAGGGAAAGGACTTAATATCAAGGTTCACAGGTGGTTTGAGACGCAAGTTTTTCCCGGCTGCTACCAAAGCCCGCACACTGGCTGCTACGAAAGCCCGCTTTGCTTCGCTTGCTTGATTTTGGCATACTCGAGCAAGACTCTACATCAATCGAGTAACAAAGATAGCGTGAGCATGCATGGATACAGTTCGAACCCAGGCTTAATAGCCGTGCGCTTTGTACAGCGGCCTCATCGGTTACGACCATCGGTTTTTCAATCTGAAAAGGATGTTTGCACTCTGAATACCAGTTTGACGAGAGAAAACAAAATTGACAAGTTCAGAAGTTCGAGGTTTGGTGACTTTAATAAAAGGCTTGGCGCCAATTTTCCTCCGCACTGAGGTGTTCGTTAAATAGTCTTCGTAATCAACTCTGTTAACGGCGATAGATTCCTAGAATTTACTGAACCGAACTGAAAGATTAACTGTACGATATTCTTGTTATATGAAATAATTTCCTTCTGAGAAAAACATAAAGAAATGTAAGAGTTTTGTAATCTTTCCGTTCAAGCTCATTTCAGCTTAGTCTGCAGGTGTGACTTGAAATGAAAAAAATGCACAATAATTATGACTTATCATATGGAAAAAGGACTCTAGCTATCAAATTTATCACCTTATTCGCCCCGGTTACACAAACGCAAGGCTAATTTTCGTCATCTATATATATATATATATATATATATATATATTGAAAGGATTATAAAAAAAAAGGTCTTATAAATAATTAATAAAGTCTAGACAAGAATTTTGTGAAGAGGGTGTTTTTTCCACAGTTGAACTGCCTTAAAAAACGTAGCGACATTGTGTTTCTGTTGTACATCGTGATCAGCTTTATTTATTAACTGAAAACCTTTGCATAATTATTCTATTTAGTATGGCTAGAGCTGTTTTTACCTGTTTTAATTTCGTTTGCATGTAATATTTTATTAAACGGGACAGACTAGGCAGATTACCGTGATGCAGTGCTGGCTCATATCTGTCTTCTTTTTTTTTTTCTCGCTTAGGAATGGTTAACGACAACGGCGGAAACGTTCTCAGACAAATTTAGTAACGCGCTGTACGTGATATTAGAGACAGTCTTTTTATTTATTAATGCACTTTTGTCGTAATTTGTAGTAAACCTGTCACAATTTGTAAGAAACATGTGCCGCAATTTAGACTAAAGTGAAGGTTCCTTTAATTATATCATTTTTCATCAGGTCTCGGTTAAAACCATTTGTTAGAACTGACAGACCAGACTGGTTTAGTTGTAAAGAGAATAATTAAGATCCAGTCAGATCAGAGCTATTTAGATTAAGATCGGCAATGTTGGAGTGTCCCTTTCTATTTGTAGGAACAGTAACCAAACGCGCAGAGGCTTTGCTCGGGTCGATGTAGTTCCATTGGGCAAGTGGAATTTCCAACATTTCAACCCGAATTTTTGTTGTATTGAAAGCGCCCATTGGCTTAGAATTACAGCGGTTATGACACGCAACTATCCTCATTTTCCTACCAACTGTGTTATTACAGCTCGGTCAGTTACCTACTGCGCATGCGAAACACATACTAGAAATTACCAAGTTTATGACAAAGTAGGACAATGAAAAGGACTTCAGTCTAGTAACATACATCTGACAGTGAATAACATACAACCTCCTGACATTTTTGCGAAGAGGATATTTTTGTTTTATTTGTGTAGTTAATAAGAACTTCTCTTACCTGCCGTTAGTACGGATGGAGACCTGGTTTTGGATTCTTGGATGGGTTCTTTCCTTTCTTGCCATCGCTGGAAATGGATTTACAATCTTCCTCGTCTGCAGCAGACGAAATCTCCGCACCAAAACCAACGCGTTTATTGTTTCACTTGCAGTGGCGGATTTTTGTGTTGGTTTGAGCGTTGTTCCTTCTTTGTTCGCATGCGACGTTACAAACACCTGCTACTGGCCTAAGGTTTTTCCTTCATGGAAAGATGTCGTAAGGTGGCTGTTTAGCTACTTGTCTGTTTTAAACTTGTGTTCTCTGGTGCTCGACCGTTATATCGCCATCGTAAAGCCTTTTAAATACATAACTTTTATGACTCGATCTCGTGTTATTCAAGTGATAACTTCCTGTTGGATAGCGTCATTTACGCTGGTTGCGTTCAAGACCGCACTTCGGCTTTGCTGCGAGACCCCTCTGACCAGTATCGTTGCAGTTGTGGTTTTAATGATTTTCATGGAAATCGTTCCATGCGTACTGCAAGTACTCTGTTTCGCGTCAATGTTACTTCATGTATGGAAACATGATCGGTCAACACGCACCCTAGCAAAACAGTTACGTTTTAACCATCGGGTATCTTTTAAAACCCATCACGAGAAGTCTGCAGTAATAATGATGGGTATTGTGATAGGAGTGTTTGTTGTGTGCTACGGAATATATTTGCGTTGTAGTCTGTTAGTAGTATTCGACACAAATGCATCATGTAAAGATGAACAATACAAAATTCCTGTATTGGTTTTAAACTCGGCCATTAACCCACTGTCTTATGCTTTTTTCAAAAGAGACATAAAGAAAGAGTTTAAAAGGCGTATCAGTCAGGTGGTTTAATTTAGGCGGAAAAGTAACCAAGTAGAGCCTTCCACTTGATCATTTCTGAAGGACATAGATCTTAATATTAGTTGGCAGAACTGCCTTTGATAGCGGATTGTGTCAGGCATCGCGGGCGGCAGTTTTGGGGCCGGCAATTCCCTGGCGGTTTGTCTCAAATCATAGTTTGGAAGCACTGGTGTTTAAGGAGGGTACAAGAACCAATACAAAGGACGATAAGAATACAATCTAATAGGGACCTTACTATCCGAAAACAGAGACGCCAATGAAAACGTCGCTGAAAAATAGACTTCGCGTCCTTTTTCGCCCTCATACCAAGTCGCTCAGTGAATTGAAAGCACGGAACATGTGTTAAGCTGGAACTGAAGAGAGGACACCGCGCCCGAGTTCAGAGAGGGATAGTAAATAAATTTATCGCCTTGTCGTTCCAGTTCTTAAGCCCGTCAACTAAAAAAAAAATTGAATATTCCACGTTGTAGTTGTGTACGGACAGCGGAGAAATGTACTAAAAAAAGTGATGCACGTGCAGCCGGAGCTGTTGTTTTGCTCACTGAAGCCTATTGTGTTGTATTTTCGTAAGGTTCCTAGCAGTATATGTCAGTTGCTCTTGAGACGGCGATTCTGAGGTATCAAGCCCACGTCAACAGTAGTGGTAGACGAAATTTCTAATTGAATTTTTGTTTCAAACCAAGGGAAAGTATTTCTTTTCCTGGCTTTCCTAGCCATTATAAAAACTAAGAGTGCAGCCATTGCTTTTTTCTCTTCTCTTCCATTCCTTCTCCTCGCCCTTTCTGCTTTTCTTTTCTTTCGTTACTATGATTTTGGAGCTTCTGACGGGCTTAAGAAACCTGCCTTTTGACACTTTTTCACTCAAATGACTGCAAATTTCGTTAGGTTGTTTTTCAAAAAATCGGCTAGGTATATATATATTAAAAATCGTTTTGGAATTGTTGGTAATTCGATTACATATCATCGTCATTATTGTAAACCAGTCCCTTTTTTATACGATTTGCTTGTAATCTTATTTTTAAGAACGGCTTGTAACAACGTTGTACTGATTCATTAATGTGCGATGATGTTGGGATTGAACCTTGCTTACTTACTTAATTGTTAAATAATGGTTACTTCTCGGCTTTCGAACGTCTGCCACGCAGGCTCCGTTTAGTCCACTGACTACCTTCTTTTTTCGTCCCTCCCATGTGCCTAGCTGAATATTTCTGGATTTAACTCAAACCACCACTTTTAGCCTCTTTATCTGTTATCTTTTCCTCAAATACTTCAAAGCAGGTTATTTGACTGTCGGTTGTATATTGTGAGCAACAAGCTCCGACACTTGACTGTCGGGGGTAAGGTTTGGGGAATTGCATTTCACAATTGTACCTACTGGTCTATGATAACAGCAACCGTCTGTACATCCTGTCCTTCACATCAGCTACATGATCCGGATCCACCTGTAGGTCAGTTTATTCTTTGTCCTTGCTAGGCCTGCTAGGCATGATGGGACCAACAACAACTTACAACAACTTTATTTCAAAATCCTTGTTACAAAATAGAATTAAAACACAACCTTCAAGAAGCAAAGGCTATTCGTGAAGCATGAAGCAAAATACAATACTAGGAGCCAAGCCGGCCAGTTGAAGTAACAGTTGGCGAGACAGTCTCTATAAATTGGACTGAGTTATTTCGTCAGCGTTCTTTGTGAGGGTATAACAATATTTATGAAAATAAGAAAATGCCAAATAACCAGAGAGCTTTTTTAAAAAAGCTTTCTGAATGGAATGGCGTCGTAACCAGGAGATAAATCTGTTCACTCTTTTCTTCTGCAAAGATAAAGTATATAACCAAAGAAGACTGTTTACGACGAAAATATGCAGTTAAATTGTTAAAAAGCTATCTTCAAGAACGACGAAGAGTTCCCCACGCTGAATGGATACTTTTTAAGCCTCTTTGGCCCGAGAATTAAAACAGCGTTTTAATTTCCAAAAGCCTGTCATTTTTATTCACGAAGTCTTTGCAAAGCGGCAGAAAGGCCATGACATGGAGCTACTTGGAGATATTAAGTAAGAGACACATAACTGAGAGCATGCGCACAATACGCGCCTCAATCGAAAACAAAACCCCATTTACACTAGCAAGTTGCAATTTGTGAATAAAAACAGTCCCTGTGCATCTGAATACGATTTAAAAGACCATATATAATTATGTTCTTTTGCGATGCTCGCGGAAAGGTAAAAAATCCTGACCTAACCTAAATTTAAATAAAACCTAATCCTAACCTAAAAATCCTAACGCAGCGTCATCCACTCACTAATAAATTAGTGCACAAAGTTCTCGACAATTCCACGATTTTCATATAACTTGATCTACTGAAACCCTTTTAGGCCAATTAAATTTTGAGGAGTAACTGTAATTTTTCAGCCAACTCACCAAAGTCTGTGTTTTTTTCCGTCGAGTTCGTTGACGGTTGTTCGCGAGGGAGAGCCGATGATCGGAAGAAACAGTGGTCGACTGGTAATTTCCATCTTTTGGTTCGTCACTTCCTCTCTCGTGTTCCTCTTTACTTTTCTTTGGCGAAGATTCAAAAGGCTTGTCGCAAGAGGTGATGTTAGCTCTTGCTGTTTTAGTGAACGTTGTAGCAATTGAACACTCAACCTTCGTTTTAACGAAGATTGAGTGTTCAGGAAGTGGCCGAGAAATAATTAAAATTATTTTATGCATGCGTTCGGCCACTTCCTTTCACAGCTTCAGGTATTTTGTTTGCTGCATTAACCCACTCAGGTGCACAAATGGCAAGCTGCTGCAGGTGGTTACCCGGTCTTGAGGGCACTTCAATGGGGAGAGCTGATAATTGCGGAAAGCCACGAAATTAAAGGATAGCCTGACCAACTGGTGCTGTTATTATCCAACAGCAGGAACTTGATCGGGTTTAGGTCACGGAAGGAAGCTTGGCTTAGGATGTATAAGCTGTTTGGGGACAGATGATGTTCCGTCTGACTGACAGGATAACATTCTGCGCTACCAGAGTTGTTCGGGAATCCATTTCCGTTTCATTCACCATGTTCACAAGTGCAAGAATTTTGTTGGCGTCTGATACAGGTACTATGGCTGCTTCCGAAGATGGTTTTAATGACACGAGGACTCCCTGTCACGCTATAATAGGGAGCTTAAGCAACCACGACGGGAATGGGAACGGGAACGGGAACGGCTAAAAAGGCAACAGGTTAGATTAGCAAAACAACAACTTTGCGTCACGTGCATCACGCTTTTTTTTCTTACATTTCTTTGCCGTCAATGCGTACGCACGACTACAACGTAAAAGTGCCTAATTTCACTTTTTTTCGTTTACGGGAACACAAGACAACAACTTTCTTTTTCTTTTCCTGAACTTTGATACAGTCCTTCCGAATTCAACTCCAAAAAATTTGCCTACATCAGTGACAAATTTAAACAGATGCAATAACCGCGATAAAGTTTGAGGCAGCGCGAATTCACTTTTTAAATGACTCCGTAGCAGTCGCCGTCGTTGTTGCTAAGCTCCATAATGGTGAGACAGCAGTACAATCGTGTTTCCATCCGCTGTTGTTACTTCATTAGTGTCGAGCTCTGTGATGGTCGCTCCTCCAGACGATGGCCCGGGCCACTGAAAGTACTTTATACAGCAGTTCATCAGTAATAATATACACTATAGCTGCATGATTCAGACTTTCGCCTAGGCTCTAGACCAAATCGAGTTACTGTTCTACCCGATCAAGTTCTTGTTGTTTCTGCCGAAGTTCCTGGGCTCTCTGATCAAGCCCCTTTAACAAGGAAGTGCAGTTAGCCTTCAGCTTGAGGTTTTTTCCTTTCACATCGTTTAAAATAGGCTCAAGCTGAAAGCTCACTGCACTTCACTGTTTACTGAATAAACAGGGCAGTACAGTGAGCCTTCAGCTTGAGGTTTTTTCCTTTCACATCGTTTAAAAAAGGCTCAAGCTGAAAGCTCACTGCACTTCACTGTTTACTGAATAAACAGGGCAGTACAGTGAGCCTTCAGCTTGAGGTTTTTTCCTTTCACAACGTTTTAAAAAAACTCAAGCTGAAAGCCAATTGCACTTCACTGTTTATTGAATAAACAGAGCAGTACAGTGAGCCTTCAGCTTGAGGTTTTTTCCTTTCACAACGTTTTAAAAAAACTCAAGCTGAAAGCTCATTGCACTTCACTGTTTATTGAATAAACAGAGCAGTACAGTGAGCTTTCAGCTTGAGTTTTTTTTCCTTCACACCGTTTAAAAAAGGCTCAAGCTGAAAGCCCATTGCACTTCATTGTTTATTGAATAAACAGGGAAGTGCAATGAGCCTTCAACTTGAGGTTTTTTTCCTTTCACATCGCTTAATTCCTTAACAGCGCTCTTATACCTCCGTTTGATGTCTTCTTGCGATTCTTTTAGCCGCTGTAACTCTTTTCTCAAATTATTTTCTTTTAATTTTCCCGATCTTTCCAGATCGGTGAGGTTCTTTTGAGTTTTTAACAAATCTTATCTCGGAAGTGATTATCTTTCTTTCACGATTATCTTCTTTTCTTCTACTGTCGATCTGATCGCAGGTTATTAATCACTACACCTTTTGCTATGCTCGCAGCTGTATACATACATCTCTACCACCCTTAGTCGACGGAGAATCTTTTCTGAAATGCACAAAAACAATCATTTTTAGATAAAAATCACTGATTCTGTAAAATCTCTCCGTAAGTTTCAGTTTCGTTTTTCTTTTTCCAAACGTGAAGTTTTTAGCTAAAGAGTGATGTCATAGAGAATTGACCATAAGTTATTTGCGCGCGCAAAGGCTTGTCTAGAGCTGCGATACTAATGGTCAGTAATAGAGCATCCGTGGGTTTGTTAAGCTATTGTTATGTAGGATCTAGGTGTTAGGTCAGTATATCGTTCAGTCACTTTTAAAATGTTTTGTATACAATGATTGTTAATCGCAGAAGCCTGCGAGCAAGCTTTTCACAGCGAACGAGT